CTGCTTTGCAGCTGTGGTTTGGACAGTTTCTTTGGACTCTAACTATGTTTCTCAGGTTGTACTCTCTACTCTTGTTTAATTAATATTCACCAAACTTCACCTCCATATAAAAGGATTGGTTCAGTATTGCTTTGGAAAATTTTAAGCCAAATCTTTATTGGACTTTTTTTTTACACTGTAATAAGCTGTGAGCTTTACTGAAGAAGTGACAGTGAGCCCTAGGTACGTATACTCTGTTTATTAATTATATTAATTTTAGTTTTATGTAGATTTATTCTCTCTCTATCTCTCAATCTGTGTTGCCTGTTTTGAAAAGATAATTAAGTTTAATCAATGCCCTTATACTGCCCTCTCTTTCTATTGATTTCACTTTTATCAGCTGTTAAGTGACTCAGTGTCTCTGTGTGACTGAAGCCTGTGCATCCCTGATAGTCTCTTGTTGTTGTTTTTAAACCTTTTTTTTTTACTTTTAAATTGCATTGCTTTAGCTTCATTTTGCATATGCTTATACCTCACTATTTTTGACTGATTTTTCATTTTTCACAGTTTCATTATTAGCTGTGAGGAACAATGTGAGGAAGCCCAGTGAGACAAGTAGAGTTTATAAAATGTTATAATTGCAAACCACACATAATGAATCAAAATGAGCCCATAAAGATTTTTTTTGACACTGAAAACAATTTCTGTACACCCAAGAGTAAAATTAATGGCACTGATACATGATTCAATGTTAAACTATACACTTTGATTACCTAAAACATTACATAAAGATTAAAGAAGGATTGCATGAGGATATATTGATTTGTTCATGCATGGTTCATGGTTTTCTTGAGATCCTGTGGGGTTTATTCTTCATCAGATGTGCCTCCTGACAGTTTCAGCACTGTATGAACTGTGGACATGTGCTCAATCCCAGTGGATTCCAGAGTGGCCTCTTCCTCCACCGGCTTGGCGTTTACGACAATCCGAAAGTCATAATCTTAAAGCAGAAATAAATAGTTGCAAAATGTTTAGTATCTTACACAGTAACCTAGGCTACATTTTCAAGTTTGGTTTTGATTTTGTTAGATGAAAAGATAGCTGAACTAAAGGGTGATTGTGGTCCATTTACAACATTTACAAGACTGACAAAGTGTTAAAAAGAAGCAGCATTAGACTCTCTGAAGTCACATTGAAACAACTAAGGGTTAAAGGCAGGCACAGTGTTGTGGACGAACCTGGGTCTGCCCACTTGTACTGCACAATCCTAGAACATAGGCTGTATTGTCTTAACTTCAATTTTTATTCTTAAAATTGACATTCAAACTTCTTAAAAGAGTAAACAAAAGAATACACTTACTTATCCACAGCTCTTTACTAATTTTCTCTTTAAATTGCCGTCCAGTGATGTTTTTCAGCTGCTCTTTAGTGTTGCACAGCTCAAAAATCTTTTCTTTTCCAAAGGGTGGATGAACGCAGACTTGGAAACACATTTTGGAGCCTGTTCAGTGAGTTCTTCAGATCTGTCTGTCCAGAAAGTGAAACGTTTGTTAGATAAATAGGCTACGTGATATCAGATGGGGATTTTTTATATGCGTCACGTAAAAATAAAATCACATGACGTCTTGGAAATTAAAAGCGAAAGGAAAGGAAATTCCCCCCCATAAAGCTGGTGTTTTATTTGAGTAAGTAGCCTACATTTTACATTTGGTCAAGATGAGCAGCAACATGACAACTGAACAGGAGAAGTGTTACGACCCTCAAGACAAAACACTTACATTTATCGATGGAGAGGATAGGATGAATTAGACTGTAAGTAGTCAATGTCACCATTATCTTATCTTATGAATGTAATAATATCAACCAAGCAAACATTAGCTTCTGCTATCTATGTATTTACCTGCTACTTTAAGTATTGTAGCTCTTCTTGTTATGTGTCTCACGTTCTGTGATGGCTACAAGTCTCTGAGAGCACAAAGATGCCGTGGTCATGCTGTCACTCCGATGTCTCTACCGACTGGTCACAGGTTGTTGGACCAGGTAGGCTGTTTACATCATAATGCAATATAAAATCTGTTTTAGTGAGAAACTTCACTGACAATGTGCACAGTGGCAGCTGTAGAGTGATAAAGGGTTTAGATTGTATGATACCAGTTACAACATAAAACAACCAGTTAATTAGCAGAAACTGTGAGTTTAGTTAAAGAAATAAATAGACCGTGTGTGACTTCTGGCTGTGTGATGCATTTATGGTGAAACAGGCTTAGTAGGGGTTAGGATTAGCACAAGAGAGGCACCATGTTTCAGGTTTTTCTCTACGGAAAAGGTACCGTAGAACAGTGTTGTCCAAAACACCCCATTGTACAGTTTGAATACATATAAATAGCAGGGACCATCAGTTTACTAAATGACAGAAAAGGGGTCTGTAAGGAACAAAGTTGGATCCACTGCCTAGAAACACTTTTACTGAGTTATTGAACAGAGTCACCAATGAATAGCAGTGAACCATATCAGCAGTAGCAGCTAAATAATTTAATTTCTCTCTAAAAGGTTTTTCTTTAATATCTCAGGGTGAGTGCAGATTGTGTGTGCCTACCTGGCTGTGATGTTGAGTGCCCCTTTGAGAGGTTTATAAAATGGCTCTCTAAGCCCTAAGAAAAGGATACTTTGAACAGGAATGTTCAGCAATGCTGGCAAATTTGAAAACTGTCAGTATTAATATTAGATATTAAACTGTTTTGAAAAACAACAAACATCTCATTATGTTTTTCTTATAACTTTCACTTCACAGTGTCCTGTTGACAAGTCCTCTGTGATGAGAACTGATCTCAGTGACTGATATTGAATGCTCAGTGTGCACAGCTAACAAAAAAAGGTCTTATAGATTCGCTGGCAGTGTTTTGAAGGAAGGAAAGGTCCGCTCCACGTTCAGAACCGCTGTGAAAACCGATGGCTGCATTAATCAGCAACTAGAAAACCTAGAAACCTCCCAGATATTGTTTTTGAAGAATGGACGGGTGTCACAGCTGTTCCCTCCATCCCGGCCGTCCCACCCTGTGTTTGCTGCCTGGAGCATAACAAGACTCAATGTAAAAACATTGTCTGTCGCGCCGGTGTAGAGGTGATTCTGTTTCGTGTGCCTGAAGACCACTGAAGAGTGTCAGGGAGCCTCACTGAAGAGAGTGAGGAGGCTCACTGAGAGAAGTGAGGAGCCAGTGAAGAGCAGAGCAGGAAGAGCATCGCTCCTATGACGCCGACTTTGCTCCACTGTGTAGCGCCAGACAGACCGTCTATACCTTGTGGGCAGAGAAATAATTGAAATGATATAACACAATCTTCCCCTTTTCTTAATTGCGCGATCATCAATAAATAATCCCCACACCAGTCTGAATAACAGTGAAGAGCCCTATAAGACTTTTTTGTATTTGTACAGAGATTGGAACAATACCATCACCAACAGAGATTTTTCATATTTTCTTATTACATTTGTTGTTCCCCCCTAACATCGAATTGAGCCATGGTTGCTTTCCTGGTGCAATAAAGGTAAATTACATTATTGTTTTGAATAAATTATTTTTAGCCGCACTTTAAAACCACCGCTGTACAGCTGTAAGTCATGTCCACAATTATTGTATATAGTGGTGAATGCACACTGATAACAAAAGAACAATACAAATGTATGAGTGAGGAAGCTAGTATTCAGATAATTACACTTGTGTAGCAAGTAGAAAACTATCACACAAAAACATCTTTACAAGTAACAGAGCTCCGCACCTCGAAATGGTGTAAAAGTATTATCAGCCAAAATGATTTTATCAAAAAGTAAAAGTATCATGCAGAATGGATCATAATACAGATACACACAACAAATTAAATACTATTAAAAGTGTGAGGGGGAGGTAATTTTACTCTATGGGTTTATGCTACACATGCTCATATTTATAACTAGCGGTCAGTGGGAGTAAAAGATATTTCTGCTTAAATGTATAGTGAAGTATACAGCAAAATGGAACGTTGCATAAATTAGGCGAACAGAGTAAAGTACTGAGATACGTTTCATCATGCATTGTAAATATGAAAGACAGTTAATTCTTTGCAGCAGGCTCGTATGCGAGTACAGGATTCTAAAATGCCAATAAGGAGGTGGAGTATGCGCAACCACTTATGTTTTACATGAACATGATAGAAAGGGTATCTGATAAAGTATGGGCAACTGTCTTAGCTCACTGAAACCTGGACTAGTATCACTCAATGAGCAACAAATGACGGATAACAGGATTAAGGCATGGTGGTATAAGTGGAAAGCATACGGCTTCCCAAGGCAAGTTGACTGGGTGCCATTACAAGG